TTAATGTTGCAAACAGGAAGTCGGTGAAGTGTAAAAGCACGAGCCGCCATCTAACCCTAAAACTGATTAAGGTATGATAAGGAATCTGTGGTCAGTACACAGGGATTTCCATTATAGTATATACTCGGTCCTGCAGCAGTAACACAATGTAAGCTTGGCTCTCCGGGAAGAAACAACCTGATTATTGATAAGTGCACATTTAGGCACTTAATTGAAAAACATTAGCAGCTTCAGCTTACTTTACTGACATAATTACAGTTATTAACATCTAATAAAAGCCAGTGATTGCTACGCTGGGTTGACCACAGGAGCACAACCTGGACTGGTTTCCTCGGATGCGTGCCATGTCGCTGGTGAGCAGCGATGCAGAGGGGGAGCAGAATGAAATCAGAAACCTGCAGGAGAAGCTGGAGTTGACCATGAGGCTGGTAGCCAACCTGTCTGGACAGCTGACGGAGCTCAAGGAGCAGGTATTATCATATGACACTAAATCATGCACCCCCTGATTTGTACTATATCACTCTTTACTTTTGCCTTCATTTTAAACGTACAGTGACTGATGAGTTATTGATTGCACATGACCGTTTCACCAGAGCCTGTCACTTTATATTGAACAGTAACATGGGAAGATTTTTGGAGAATCAGCTGCTTACAGATGAACTATCTCCATTATAGAACTGATCACTGAGGCAACCTAAGCTAATACCTACATTTTTACTGTTCTTGCTCTACTTTGGATAACATTGTTCATCACGCAGTTTCAACATGTTCAGCAATGACAGTTAGCCTTTGAAAAGATTAACAGAATGATGTATTTCACAATTTAGGGATACACTGGAGTCTTAAAGGAATAGTTTGATGTGCTAATTTGCTTTCAGCCTTGTATCTGTACGTTAAATATGAAGCCACATCTAGCAGCCAGTTAGCTTTGCTTAATATACAATATAGACTGGAAACCAGGTGGAACAGCTAGCCTGGATCTACTGGCATCCCTTAAGCTTACTGACCAGCATATTATTTCTTATTTATACAATGTGGGGAAAAAAAGTGTCAAAACCCTAGGTTGCAGTTCTACACCGTACAGTTTCTTGGGTAGGCACAGTGTTCTCCTGGTGTCAGGATGTAGTCTGGCACATAACACTTGTTAAACAATAATGGTGTTCATTATTATAGCAGTAAACAAAGCAGCATGTGTCCTCCTGTATGTATACGCTTGTAAAGTCACTGGTCGATAGCGCCTCTACCGGTCAAAGACTCCACAGGGTAGCTTTAAAATGTAGTACGAACATACCAGCAGGAACCCATGCCAGAATATAGAGGTGAAAGCTGATGGAAATGTCAACTTGAAACTGCGGCTTTGTGTCCTTGTGCAGATGACAGAGCAGAGAAAACAGAAGCAACGAATAGGTCTCCTTGGTCATCCACCTCACATGAACATCAACCCCCAGCAGCCTGCCTGATGGCCCTGTGGGGCCAGTTTCACTAGTGCCTGAGGAGGCCTGACAGGGTGGAGAATGCCACAACATGTCTGTCTCCAGTGTGTATTTAGGTCAATGTCTCACGCTATACTTCACCAGATACTCCAATAAGTGTTTCTACAACATGTGTATTCCTGAGTGTCTGTGTGGGTGGAGTGTGTACCAAGTGCCTTGGGACCTGAGAAGCCAGTGCTCTAGGTTTAGGAGACGAAAACACTGCTGCATCATACCACACTGACAGCATGCCAAAGTTCCTGAGGGAGGATTCCTCTCAAGTGGCCTTGTATTGAGGTGTTAATCCTCAGTGTTTCACCAACAAACCCAGGTCACGTGTGGATTTGAAGGTTTGTTTAAACTCTGCAGTACATTATTTAATAGTTTGCTTTTGGCTGACAGCAATAGGAATACTTCATAATATGCAATACCTAAATAAGAATGAACTATTTTGGAGAACTGATATTTTCTGCTATCATATATTTAAAGTTTGGGGACAAACTGCTCCTCAAAAGTAGCCCTGAAGACTTCACCATATTTTCTGAGTCTCAAATGCTCTTATAAACCCTATCCAGTGGGGTTTTTTTTTTTTTATTATGTGGGCAAGCATTTGTTTGAATCTCAAATGAAGGTTTATACTTACAGAAAAAACCTTTTGAAGCCTGTTGTCAAGAGAAACGGTGTCATCCTTTTTTAACTATTATTTTGAATATTGAAGGAGTGACTCTACTGGGGAGAAGGAGCAAATGTGATTGCTTCACCCTGAAGCCAGTTGCATGTTGTGCTTAATTAGAAACAGAACCAAACTTAAAGGATTTTTTGGGAGCAATGTTAAATCAGATTTATTATTATGTGCACTGAGCTATTTAATCTTCCTTTAATTCATTTAGTCCTAAAGCACTGGGTTTGTGTGGCACACAAATTATTGTTACTTTTTAGTTGGTCACTTTGTAAACAAGCTACAAGAGGATGGCGATTTCAGTGTACTAAATGTGCAGGGGAGAAACGGATGTAACTGCTGCTTGACCGAACTGAACTTTTATACTAATGGATGGTTTGCGACTGAATTGTACATTCCATTCTTGGGGTCTCTTTAAATAAACACGTGTGTAAAATATTCTGATGGTGAGCGTTCAATAGCAACTGTATGGAATTGGAGAGTAAGACTAGAACATATGTGAGACTAAAGGTAACGAGAACACAGGCATTTTTAAAGTCATTGTCATTGAGTTAATTCTGATACCTAAGCTTGTTTCATATCATCAGTCTAACTCGAGTGGTGCCAGTCCTCTGAAGTGCTGCAGCCAGTTGAATGAAGAACTTTGCCAAGAAGTACAGTACATTTGGGAATCGCTGGCAGATAAACACTGAAATCTGATGTTATTGCAACATACTGTAGGTAGGCCATTTGTAGATTTTCAGAATTGTATGCCTGCCTTTTTATTTGGAGTCCTAACAAACACCCAAAAATGGTATTATCTAAATGTTCCCAAAGCCTGCTGTAGCACTTTCAACAGCATCTTTAGTTTTTTTCAGTAAGCATATTGATCACATAAAAAGTACAGTACTTTTAACATCTTAAGCTTGTGTCCAGTGTCAAATATTAACACCATACATTAAAATTACAACATTATCCAATTACACAAGTATTTTATCTAATAGAATCAGTGTTCATACATTAAAATTACAACATTATCCAATTGCACAAGTATTTTATCTAACAGAATCAGTGTTCAAGAGTGTTCTACTGAAACAAAACTACCATTATTGTAATTTTTGAAAGTCAAATTCAGTTCTCAGTTGTGTCACATTTGTTTTGATTGTACTTTAATCATAGCTGAATTACTGTCATCTGTGTTATGGTTGTCTTGTAATTACTGTCTGTAGTTCATCCTATTTCTATTTAATGAATTTTCTAAGAGACCTTTTAGTTAAGGTCACTGACGTGGTCACAGGATGAATTCCTTTTGATGCTTGAGATACTTGTTTCTGTTACAGACATGGTCAGGAGTAAGTCATCTGAGGTTATGAAACCAAACTGTGACAGCTATTAAATTTCTTATTAGAAAATAGTTTGAGTCCACATAAGCAAGCTTCTACATTCTTGTGAATTTTGTGTAAATTGTCTAAAGAACATCTTATTTATGACTAGAAATATAAATGAAAAACTGCATATTTTTATCGAAATATATCCAAAATACTGTTAAGGTCTGTGAGACTGGATTGTGTGTTCCTGCCCGGAAAGCAAGTCTTTGATTAATAAATTCACCTTCGGTTCATATGACTGGAAGCATTTTGTTGTGAGATGGGGTTAAATGAAAAAGTAGTTGGAGGAAATATGACAGCTTTTCTCTAATCACGTCATAATTCCTACTGTGATATAATTGCTTGCAGCTTCATAATGGACTCGTTAATCCAGGCTGGATTCAACTATCAGAGGAGCAGATTATTCATTTCAACAGGAATAATGATAAATTCAGGGTCTGCTATGTTGCTGACTGACCAAAGTAAAGCCAAACTTCCTGTTTACATATGGTACATATAAACTGTTTGTGTATTAGGGTGATTATCCTTCATCTGAGTTCATTATAGATCTGAAAATGTCCTCGTATATCGAACTTGTACATTATCAAACCCTGTTGCAATTTATGTCAACATAATATTGCTGTAAAGATAAAAGAATGTGCAGAAAAGAAAAATCAACATGTCCAAAAACCTGGCTTTTTACACACCTTGTAATTTCAGATTTTTAAAAGGTGTATTTCATGAAAATCCCCTTGAAAGGGACTAAATGAGGTATTCTGCTGTGATCTGTGCCTGTAGCCTGCAGCAGGCAGGTGCAGCCGCCGTGTGCTGGATGGGCTGAATGTGCCCTGCGCGCTCAGCAGGCTACCGGGCCATGAGGAGAAGAACGTGACAGGCACCGGCACCGCCTCATGACCGCGAACACCGGCACCACACATTCGTCCGCGCACAGCTGCACGTGGTTCTCCCGCGATGACCACACTGTACAGCTACTGGCGTGCACCTGCCTGCTACTGCTGCCGATTATTATTATTACCGATCTGGGAATAAAATCAAATCCAAGAAGCCGTAATATGTTACTACTAGTCTAACGTTGAATACAAGACTGTAGCCTAAATATAAAAGCACCAGAATGTTGTCCACCGGGTACAGAGCTCATGTTTCTAAAACCTGTCTGAATAATAAAGTACTCCACTGCACCCGAATAAATTCTGTGGCGTGTCTGTGCGGTGCAAGATGTCATTAATATCTTGTCAACTATGTTGTTCTAGTTGTATTATTGTGCACGTTTGTTTGCCAGTAGGCACTACACTCACTCACCTCCGGTGCCCCAGGTCTTTTCAACTACTGCAATTAGTCGCTGCCAACAAGCTGCCTAAACCGTGGCGCGCACGGCCTTGTTTCCATACACTTCAGCGTGGTGGTACACGGGATCCCGCAGGCGCCGCCCTCCCCTCTGACGTCAGCGGCCGTCCGCCCACTCAGACTCCTTATCTGCAGAAGGTGGGCCGTCCCTCCGCCGAGAAAATGGCACCGTTTAACACGTGAGCCTCATGTGACAGAGGTAGGTCAGGCTGAGCGGAGAGTCAGAGGGTTTATTTAACTCGTCTCTCTAAACTCCCCCACTTTCCCAACGCGCCACCGAAAGGGTTACCTTCCTTCTGCGTCGGGTCCACGGCGTGGAACTAGCAGGGACTGACCAGAAAGCGTTTTCACACCCAAATTAACCTTTATATGAAGTAGACTAGTGTTAAATAATGACAAATTAGTACAAATTTTGATCTTGGTTCGAGCTATTTTGTGCAGTTCACAATCTACAGCTTTGCAACTTTTTTTTATCTTTATTATTTTTTTTAATTAATGCGTGTTAACTTGTGACGGCACTGGAAAAGTACCACGGCTTTAACCGCGTAATTGGAGTAAAAACAATGGAGCGAATTCCAAGCGCGCAACCGCCTCCGCTGTCCACACACCAGGCTGATCTGTCAGACGTGCAGGGGTAAGTTACTTTTAAGATGTCTGTTTCAATCCACTCCTCTGTTATTTATTCTACTGTACACCTCGTCGAATTTAAATCTCACACTTTCTATTTCTTCTCGTTTCTTTAGGATGGATTTCCCGATGTATGTATATAAACCTAGACGGGGAGTGAAGCGAGGAGAGGAGAGCAAGGTTTGTTGTTTATTTTCTCATTGAGTTATAACCATAGCGCTTTTGTTAAAATGTGTGAATTGCAAGGCAGGAATTGGGCTGACAGATAGTCCTGTCGTCCCACAAATGGTTGGCCTTATTTCTGCTGTCTCCTGGGTCCTATCGGTGTGTCTGCTCATGATCATATCGTGCGCTCTCGGTTCAG